ACTATTTTAAGTGTTAAAATGGACCTGTGATTTTATATACCATTTACAAAATTTTATCTTAAATGTGTTTGTATTATGATTTACAATGGGGTAGTCCTTCAAAAATTAGAGATGGCAAACTTGTCCTTTTTAGGTTCCTTGAGCAGAATTTCTTACTAGTAAGTAGTGAGCAATTAAGATGCACCTAGCTGGGGTTTTCCAGGTCAAGATCTATGACCCTTAGGGAAGCAGTCAATCATTTGATGGTACTGTCCAGTAATGTAGAGAGGAAGACAGACTTCACTGCCCATGCTGTTTGATGAAATTTCTTCTGTGATTACATATGAATTTATATATGTAACTGGATTGTGATATAAAGTTTATTTCTTAACAGAACCCATTGTCAAAAGAGTTCAACATTTACTATGATAACACTGAGTCAATGTTCTCAGGGGTCCTGATGAATGTGAGACACAAATTTAAATGTTTTCATTTGGATTCACTAAACTCAAAGACAGACTTTTATGGAATGAACTGTAACCAATTGCCATTATTTTTAACCAAGTTCCGCTGAAGAGAGCCCAACCTCCCACAGAACTGTCTAATAGTTGGGCTATTTGGGAGGCCATTGCCAGCATGCTTTGTTCTCTGTGCAGGCTGGGGGAAATCCATTGATAAGAAGCACGCTTTTCATGGTGTATTCATTAATTTTCTCCACATGAATGTCTAATTTTCATTTTAAAGTCAATGTGTGCTGTGTAAGAACTTACTATAGTCCCTTCAGTTCTGGCCCCAATATCCATCTAATTGCAGCTCAAGGGGGTTTTATTTTTTTTTTAATATTTATTTTTTTATTCCTCTGATTCCCCCTCTCATTATGTCTTATCTGATGGTGTATCCTGTAGTGTCCATGCCCAGTGTAAATTATGAGTCTGATTGTTCCTCCAACTGGCCTTGTTCCTCCCTGGCCCAGGACAACTGTAATAGCCTCCTAAATGAACCCTCCACTTCTCTTCTTTCATCTCTCGGACATCCATTTTCTATATGGAGGCCATCCTGGGCTTTTAAAATGCAAATCAGACAATTTAGCTCTCTAGTCACTGACCTTCACTGATTTTCTAACATTTCTTACCTGGCACACAGGACCGTACAGAAGTTCCATTTTTGCTTTTCCTTCAGATGAACCTCTTAGCACTCTCTTCTCTAGTCAGTTCTCATCAGCACCTACCTAGGACCTCCTCCTCTGCTTTGAAAGTGCCAAGCTCACATCTGCACTCAATGCTTGTACATGTGAATGTTCTTTAGCCACATACCAGCTGATAACTTCGTTTCCTAAATTATTTCTTAACTGTCATATTTTTGCATTATTCACAGATTTACTTTACTAAGGAAATTAAGCTTGGAAAGACATTTAATTTTTCAAATATAGTCTGCCAGGTGAGGATGATGGGGGACAAGCACAATCAATGTAAATGACATAGATGCATAAAGATTTCATAATGAATGTATGGCAAAAAAGTAAAGTCACTGCTGGACACACAGCTCAGTGGTAACACACGCACTTAGCAAATGCAAGGCCCTGGGCTTAATCCTTGATATTATAATTAGTAGATAAGAATAAATACCAATTTAAAAAAACTTAGCAACCACCATAATGACAATTTTGTCGTGATACATTTGTTGCTCACTTAAAATTCCTATTACAAAATGTGTTAACATTGTAGATGATGACTGGATCAGAAATCATCCAAATAGCCATCTGCTGGGTACCTTGTGAGGCAATTTCTGTAACAAGTTAATTGAAGTGGGAATACTGACCCTAATGTGGGCATCAGCTTCTAGTAGCAGCCCAGACAAAAGTAATGGAAGAAGGGAGCTTTGCTTTTTGCCTGATCCCTCCCATCTTGCTAGCAAGTCTATCCACTCTGCTGCAGCTGCTGCATTTCTTTGCTAGTATCAGAACCCAGCTTCTTTGGATTTCTAATGTGGACTGTCGGCCAGTCTTATATAGTAGTTTCCTCTGAGATTAAAACCATCTATCTTGAAGGGAGATGTCTTAAGAGAGGATGTTTCCAGGGAGGTAAAATAACAGGGGTGTTCTAAGGGGAGGTGAAATACTGCAGGAAAGTTCCTTAAGACAGGAATTAAACAGTACAAATAGCTTCAGGAAGTTCCTGAAACTGATCATATTCACTGCTCCCCCATTACTAAAGGTATACAAATAGTGAAAACTGCTGAGAGGAGACTGACGGAGACATACCCAGTTGCCTGGAAGAAGCAGAGGCCAGGAGAACTGTCTAGAGACAAAGACCAACTGAGCTGCCTTGAAAAGATTCAGACCAATTGAGCTACCTTGAAAGGACACTCTAAACCTGTTAAGATGCCTGCAGGCTGTGCGGTGTGATCCGAGCTCCTACCTTTTGTGATCTGTCACCCATGCTGGAGTGGGCTTTGGTGATGCAGCTGTCTTGGAGTCATTTCTGCTCCTTTAAGTAACCCCTCACCCCTAAACCTGTAAGTAAAACTGGTAAAACTCATTGGTTTACTAAATTGGATTTTGATGGTATGTTTCATGAACTTCTTATCTGAGGTGAGTAGATTCTGTGTTTTATCTTCTCAGGGAAAGTCAGCAATACAACAATTTATTCTCCAGGAATTCTCCAGGCCTTCAGTGACAGACTGAGACCACTGAAATGCTCAGCCTTACTGACTGAGCATCTACTGTGTCCTCAGCCTCTTCTGTGTGCATCAGCCATTGTTGGACTACCCAGACTGTATTGTGTAAAGTCATCTAATAATTCTGCCTTTACTGTACGTTCAGTACCAGATCTGTTCTTGTAAAAAATCCTGACTAATGCACAAAGAGATTAAGTTTTATTTTAGCAAACTGTTGGGATGATAAGAATATTTGGGATGTCTAGTAACAAGAAAATAAGACTGTAGTGAGCACCATCATGAGAATTTATTAAGTCTAAGCTGGTGGGCACTGGCAATACCAGGGCTTTCAGAGGTGGAGTGGCACCTACAGACAACAAAGAATAGTAGTAGATGAGAATCCCGACTCTGGACTCGGGTTTCTGGGTTCAGATGCATACATTACCCTCATCAGCTTGAGAGAATGACTGTACGTGTTTCACAGAGGTGCCGTAAGGATTAAGTCAGTGGGTATGGGAGGCTATAGAGTGACATCTGATTTACAAAATCTGCTATTACTGTGGGGCACAGATCCTTCCATAGAAAGATGTAAAACTGATGCTGAATGTTTTATCATTTCTAGAACACTGGCTGACAGAAAGGATTCACCTTCCAGTCACCCCACAACAGTAAAAAGAGACAAGGAAATTGGTGTAGTGTTCTTTGGAACCACAGAAATAACTATGGAGAAAAGAAAGGTAGCTTCAGGAAAGAGAGGTGTGAGGACCTGAGCATTAAATGATTCTGAAGTCTTTGAATATTTAGGGATTTGGTTACAAAATCTCAGGTTTACATTGGCTCAGAGTGGTCAAATTATGGACAGTTTGAGTACTTAAGAAGAATGGTGGTCAGATATTCACATGGAATTTGCACAGAAACAGAGTCACAGGAGAATTTGATGGAAGAGAAGGTTAGAAAGAGGGTAGAAGAAGAGAGAGGGGAGAAGAGAAGGAAGGAGAGGGAAAGACACAAGGTCTTGGAGGCATCTCTACTACATAAGGATGGCGGCTTAAAAAGGGAAAATATAGAAAAGTTGTTTTGTGAGCTCTCATTCTAATAACTGATTCTAGCAAGGGTCAGCAGTATATGCTCAATCACTGTGTAAAATTAGGTTAATCTTTGAAAGCAGAGGATTAACCCACAAGTTACTTTCAACCCTCAAAGTGGATATTTAGTTGTCAATATTTTAGTATAATGAAGAGTGAGACAGTCTGACAATATAGGAAGAAACAAGAAATAAGCAAATTCTGTGACCTGTAGTCACATTGTATGTATTGATGACACTCAAATCATTTATCCTACAGGTAACATGGGGACTGAAAATTCATAACATGGTCAGTTGTGCAGGGAACCATAGAGCTGGCTTGGCCTAGCTGCCTTGAGAGGTTTTTCAGTCCATGGTTCCTGGGACACAATGTGCCCTCCAGTACCTGAGAGACTGATGCACTCCCTCAGACAGTGATGTGTTCAGGCCACTTTGGTTTCTCCATATGCTTCCTTAGTAGTCATGGAAGCATGAAGGCTTGACAGGACAATTGTTCTTAGACATTAGTTTTTGTGTATCCTGAATGACTTGCAAACTTCCTTGTATCCTGGCAACTACAACTGGATTGACCCTGGCAATTGCCATTATATTCTTTTTTGATAAAGGTATAAAAATTCTGATTGCTCTCAGTAAAGTTGTCATAGTCTCAGTTGTGCTGTGGCCCCTCCAACCAGTCTGATTTAATTCCTCAGGGCTATATCAGGTGACCTTGGCCTGGTAGTAAGTGCAGGCACTTAAACAACTGTACAAATATATTGCCTGGAAGTTTAAAATTACACATTATGTCAACACAATGTGTGAGGTTGGCTAGACTGGGAGACTAAAAGGACAAAATAAAAAGTCTATAAAATTTAAAAAAGATATTTGAATTGAAAAATATTGGGAATAATGGGAAAAGCTGAAAGAATATTTATAGGTATTTGCTGTTTTTCACTATGAAAGTATGCTTATTTAAGAGAATGTCCCTATTTTTTTCAGTAATGCCCAGTGAAAACTCAGGTGTTTAGTGTCATGGTGTCTGTGAATTTCTTTTCAAAGGCCCAGATAATATGACTAGTGTATCTAGCATGTGCATTCAAGTGTGTGTGTGTGTGTGTGTGTGTGTGTGTGTGTGTGTGTGTGTGTGTATGACAAAATAGTCATTTCACTAGGCTAAAAATCAATAGCCTTAAGAGATGTACATGTGGGTATCCCTGGTTCTATTCTTTCAAACTGCATTTTTTTGCAAGCATCATAAATTAAAGCAAACTTTTGATGAAACAAAAGGAGAGCAGTTTCTTACCTGTTGCATTCTGTGCCCCTGCCAGCCTCGCTCTGATCAAGCCATGTCTCTCTTTGAGGCGAAGGATCCGAACTTTTGGAAACTGAGACATGTATTTATCCAAATTACCTTTTAGGTAGTCTATACCAGGGTCAGAATGAACAAAGAATACTTTAATTAACTAGGTTTACGAGCAGTGTCTTTGCAATGTCAAATCCACAACTAAGATGTTATTCCAGTTACCAAATTTTATCTCATGGACCACAATTTTATTTGATGCCATCTTATTGAAAATATTTTAAGTGGGTTCAATATTCTAAAATTACTGATTTTTCAAATCCAAGATGGGCACCTAAATCATGTGTACAAGTTTGAAAATTTGTAAGAAGCCAGCACTATTATTGTTGGTTAAGAGCTATCATTCCCTCCCTCCCTTTTCTCTGATGAATGATTCATTGAGGATATTAAAGGGTCAGTGGGCAGAGCAACAAGTATACTACCGTGTTTACATAAAACAACAGGCTGCTGAGGTCTCCATTTTTGGAGAAGGACTTGCTTGGTTGGAGTGAGTACATTTGTGGGCAGTTTCTTGGCATGTGATTCTCACCAAGGAAGGAATGCTGTCCTGATTGGTAGGTGTATAGCTTGAGGAAATCAGCCTGAGATGTTGTCTATGTGGCTTCCAGTTATATAATGCATGCAAACAAGGGCAGTCCTGGTTATTCCAAGTGTGGTTCTGGTAGACAGCTCTGGTACCAGGGCTCAGGGCTTCAGCTCCCTGGTATCAGATTAAAGCGCCTTTGCTTTTTAGTTGGCTGTAGGGGGATCTAGCTAAGGAACTTTTAAGAGATCTTCAAGGATGTACTGACAGTCACTTCTGTAGCTATTGATAGCTTGACAGTTATCCTCAGTAGGAATGGCTTCCAGATTATTATTTTTTTTTTTTTTTTGAGACTGGCTTTCACTATATAGCCCAGGCTGAGTTTGCACTCTTGATTCTCCTCCCTCTGCCCCCAGGTACTAGGATTACAGATATATGTCACTACATCTGATTTTCCCAGAATATAGTTACAGCTCATTTCCTACTAATTGTGTGTGTGTGTGTGGGGGGGGTTCTTTTGTTTGTTTTGAGACAAGTTTTCTTGTCTCTCTGTAGCCCTGGTTGTCATGGAACTCACTCTGTAGGCCAGGCTGGCCTTGAACTCAGAGATTTGCCTGCCTTTGCCTCCTGAGTGCTGGGTTTAAAGGTGTGTGCCACCACTGACCAGCTGTGTGTGTATGGGGTTCTTAAAGAGACTCTAAAACTGTACGAGATTCAAAGGTTTTCTTACCTTTGGTGCTGAAGTCATCCACCAGAAGAATCTCCTTAATGAGGTGTGGAGGAGAGCGGTTGAGGACACTGTGCACAGACCTCAGGAGAGCAGACCACACCTCATCTACGAAGCACATGATGATGCTGGTGGTTGGGAGGTCATTGTGAACTAGCTGCTCTGCACACCTGGGCCAGGATATAAGAGCAGCTAAGAGATATGTCACTGAAATCACAAAGGGCCCTAAATAATCTGTACACACACACACACACACACACACACACACACACACACACACACCCCTATTTGCCATCAGCTTATATGTATACCATAATCATGTTGTTGTATGCCTCAGCAACAGCATTTGTTGAAATGACTAACTATGGCAGACACACTGCCTCCTCTGGAGGTATAAGACTGCAGTGAAAAGGATAGAACTTTGTAGGTGGTTAGACCCCAATCCTACCACCAAGATACTAACCTCAATAATAACTTACTTATTCTTTCTGTGCCTCCGTTTTCACATCTGCCAAACAAGGTGATGATCTCCTAAGTGGTTTAGAGCCTAATGAACTGCATAAAAAACCATGAAGCATACTTCCTGGCACAGGCATTCACTGAACAGTAGTTATTGCTACCATTATTAAATTATATACCAGAAGAGAGCATTCTGAGTTATTTAGTGTTACTAAGTAGTTTATGATCGCCTGTATAAATAGCCATCTGCCAAATGCCAAAAGAGATATCCTTCACTCCACTCAGCATATGAATGTATTTATGGTACAATGTACATGTGCCAAATAATTGCACTCTTTCCCACTTCTCTATTTGGAAGTTCCTTGCTGTGACTACTGCAGAGTAGCCATACTTGAAGTCATTTTGCTGGCATAGAAACGAGAGCCAGGCTAAAAGGGAGCAGGTGCTCAGTGGGCTGCACCTGGTCATGGTTCCCTGCAGGCTCTGCAGCTCATGCTGCCTCACTGGCATTTTCTGTGTCTGGCCTGTGTCACCATCACAGGGCAGCGAGAAGTGGGACCTTCCAAATTATATTTGCCACTAAGTACTCCGCCTTATTTCAATGTAAGACTCAGACCTCTTTCCCCCTTCAGCAGATGAATGTATGGACAGACTGGCTCTTGATTATGTTGTTAGTAAGTTCCAGATCTGAGACTGAAACTGTGGTTCACCCTAGCCCTAGAAGTATCCATGGCAGTTTAAATCCTCAGAGTAAAAATAGCTAGCAGTCGCTGCAGCATTTGTGAGAACCGGAGCTTCTGTTAAGTACTGTGGCTCAGTTTTGTTTACTTAATGAATAAGACAAAGATAAAAGCAAATGCTATAGCTAAACAACATTTGCTTGTTTTTTTGTTTATAGTTGTCAAAGTACTGCTGTGAACACAGTTTAATTCAATACCATGGCAATTGCTTGAGATGCAATTGTGTAATGTATTATCACATACTTCTTTAAATGGTGCAAAATGAAGCATGAGAGATCAATGACCCACCCAGTACCATTTACCTAGTTGTAATATACAAGGGAATGTAAAATGATATAGTTTTCATTTCATTGGTCTACAATGATTTTATGCACTAACAGAGTGTGCATTGGGATTCAAATACACATATGGTCACATATCACTTATCCCTAATTACTGGCTTGGAGACATTGCATAACTTCTTTGAAATTTAATTTGCCAGCTACAAAGCAAAGATTAAAAGCCTTCCTTGCTTAAATATATATCTGATACATAGCCTTTTTGGAAGAAATACAAGCAAAATCATCATGATCTATAATTTCAGTCTTTTCCAGCATAATAACCAAAAGGCCTTGGAAAAACATACATACATCCTTCAGCCCCAGGAAACGGATTCAGAAAGTTTGCAAAGAAATTGAGAATCTTTGTCATACACAAAACAAGAGACACAAGAATGACTCATATGTCGGTGGGGGAATGTAAGTTCTTACATAAAGCTAATTCAGTATCCTCATACTATGTGATTAAACTTATGAAAACATTAGAGGGTAGAAATGAACATGGACTACATTTTCAGGTGCTGTAAAGTCAAAAATATCACAATTCAATCAGATGTCTTAATCTGATTCCAATGTTAATGTAAAATAACAGGCTGCCTAAATTAATCTTATTCTGTAGAAAGAACACCTACATTGGAATTTCTCTAGACTATGAGCATTTCTGACTATATTTAAGGATTATATTAATTACATGTGGCTGCTGTAACACCTAAGATTTCTGCTCCACACCTTCTCCTAATTTACCTAACCTCTCTTACATTTTTCTACGAGCAGAAAGAAGTTACCAGGTCACACCTTCATAGCTGTGCAACTCTCCTTAACAAAATGTCCCAGTTCATCACCTCCAGCTTCTGCTCATCTTTATGTGACAGCGGACACAATCGAGGCAAGCTCTCTGTCACTTTGTAACACACCTTACCCCTTCCCCAGATCCCCATCACCTGCTGCTTAGTCCCTGCAAGCCACCAGGAGAAATGCTGCCAGTGCCCGTATTTTGATCAATTTCTTCTCATGATGACGTCATGTTCATAGAGGTGATAGAAACGTCCTCTATCAGAGTACCTCTCTTTCTTCTGACCCTCACTGGCATCCTTAGCATCCATGTTGCTTCTATTAACATCTTCAGGAGAAACATTTCAGATGTTTTCTATCATGCTTGTCAAAATTCTGCCAGCCTCTGCACTCTATTTGCTAATTACCAATTTTGCCACACAACATTCACCTTTTCGTTATGTAAGGAGTTGTTGCAGACTGTGGGAATTAGGAAGTAAATGCACCTTTGAAGAGCAGTTTTCATCAGCCACCCCAAGGACTTAAGAAGTTAAAGTAGGAAATAGCTTTTATTTGGGAGGGGCAACATGCCTACATATCTTTAAATGTGGGGCTCCCCCTCCCCCTAATGCAAAGATAGGTTCACTTATAACTTAGAGAAATGTTAAATTAGCCATTCACTCTCATTATTTTTTTAAAAAAAAATGGCTTCTTTAAAGGTGTAAGTTTGTAGAAATCCAATAAAATATTAATTGTAATACTTTGCCATGAATTAAATATTGATACTCAAGTTTAGGAAAGAATTAGGAAAAAGACAGACATCAGTTGTGGCTTGCCGTGTATTAATTTAAAAAAATGTAGTTGGCTGTATAATCATCAACAGTTGGAGGACAATTTTGGAAACAAAATTAAAGTCTGCAATTGATTTTTATAAGGTAGCTTATATCTCTAAGGTAGGGTTCCAGTTCTCAGAAGCTGTGGTGGTGAGTAGGAAAGCTTGGAGGGACCAGAGGGTGGTTCACTGAGAAAGGGTGGCTGGGGCTAGAGTACAATGATAAATCCAAGCCAGATGCAGGAACGGTGTTGTGCAGACTATTTTGTAAGAAATCTTTTAAAAGGAGGCAGAGAGCTGCTAGGTGGGAGGGGGGCAAATGTGTTAGCCTCCTTCTCTCCCTTTCCTGAGTGATGAAGCCATATTCATGGGTGTGAGGGATGGTACAGATAGAATTAAGAACTGACAAAAAATCTCAATGACTGTCAAAATTATTAATGGAGCAGGCTTTCCTTGCATTAGTCAACCTCACAATGGTGGTTGATGCAGCTGACATGTCTAGTCTCTTTAGGTCATTCTCAGTATTTCCTGGTCTCCTGAGATTGTGTACTCATCTGATTTTCACCCTTTTCTCAGGCTCTTTTCCTTCAGTTTCTTTCTTAGCTCCCTCCCACCCCCAGTTCTTCATAACCACTAAGGAGGTGGTTGTGAGAGCTGGGTGTACGGCTTTGTCTGACCAATGAGCACCCAGCTCCATGCTCTTGTGGACAGCTTCTTTGGCTCATTTGGGTATTAGCTTCAATATTTCCTGCACAGAGCTTTCTCTGGCCACCCTGTCCAAGTACAGATGTTCTACTATTCTGTTATAGCTACCTGTATTTCTTTTACAGCATCCATTTGTTAATTTTATTTCCTTCTCTTCTACATCCCAGAAGTTTTGAATGTATGTCAAATCTGCTTTCTTCCTGTATTACCACAAACTTCTTGGCCTGTTGCACATGATATATATTTGATAAATCATATTGAGTGGATGGATGAGGGGACAGAGATGGAGTAAAGCTTAAATTTAAAGCTTGAAAAGCAAGAGAAAAGATGTTTTCCTTTGAGACAGGGGAGAAAAGGTATATATACAGGTAACTTCATGTGCAGGGATGAAAACCTACATTTTTGTTGGGTAATTTTTAATCATCACACAGAACCTGTGGATCCTAAACTTTTTAAATATTCATTTATTTATATGCATGGATATTTACTTGCAAGTATGTCTGTATACCACATGCATGGAGTTCTTTTGGAGGCCAGAAGAGGGTGATGGTTCCTCTGGGATCAGAGTTACAGGTGGTTGTGAGCTGCTGTATGGCTGCTGAGAATAGAATTAAATCTTGGTTCTCTGTAAGATCAGTCATCTCTCCAGCCACCCATGTGGCTATACCTATTCTAAATACCTAACTTGTGTAATAGTCATGTAGAATAAACTTGTAAGTTCTTTATCTGAAAAAAAGTACACTCTTGGAAATACCTTCCATTTAAGCTAGACACTAGTTGGAATCTTTTCTCCTGTGATATGACAGAAGTCAGGGTTTCCAATGGGAAAACAGGAACAGATAGTTTCCCTTACTTGGTTGGTGTAAGAAAATTTAGAATGTTCTAGAATTCAAAGGAGAAATCTCTCATAGATACACATTCAGAAGACTTTCTAGTGCTTAAAACTGGGCATGGCTGGAACCATATACTCTAGTGTTTGTTTGGGTAACCCAACATTAGGTCACACACTTTTAGGAACTTGGTCTTCTAGATCAATACACAGGTTAAACATGTGCCAAGTGCCTAACAAACCAGGTTTCTTGTTGCTTATTCACAGGCATAGCTGGTCAGGGCAGACAGCTTTCAGCACTAGTAACACTTGCTCCTGACACAAATAGAGACAGCCATCCAGTTTCATCTAGATTCCACAGGCTGCAAAACCACTTCAAATTATTCTCCCTTGCCCCAAATACAGTAAATTATCTTTGTTTCTGATTTGTCAGAGTCTTAATTTCTGCTACTTTTGCAGGTGAGGGAATAGCCATGGAAATCTGACTTGCATGATACTTGGGTTTGTGAATTTTTCC